TTAATTTATCATAATGTTTTACAAATTAATTTCATTATTATATTATTTTTTAAGTTTTGCTATTGGGCACATCTGCTTACAGGAGAGAGACAGAGAAAGAGAGAAGGTGAGAAAGCAGCCTACCAGGTCTGGGACTCAAACCATGTTTGGCCATGTGGGAGTCCAGCGCCTTAACCACCATGCCACCTGCTGACCCTAATTTTACATGTCTCAGAGTCTTTGGATTGGAGACCCAAAGGTGCAAGGGAAGCTATTTGATTTCCTGCTCAGGTTTGATGATCCCATAAAAAGGAAATGAGGTCATGAAGATAACAGAAAGCCTAGCAAGGCTTATCCATTTAGATTCTTCTCGGCTGTTCCGTGAAACATTCCTTGCTCTGGAGTATAGGTCGTGACCCCTCTGAAGTGAGGGTCTTATGATGTACTAACAGCAAGGCTGGTCAGAGAATTTCCTCATGTTCAACTCTTACATACAAATGCAGGCAAAATTTGAGCAGTAATTATTGTTTTTTAGTTTAGTTTTTTTTTTTTTTTTTTTTTTTTCTTTAGAGTGTACATGCACTCGCTGAAGAGAAAGACTGAGACAGACACAGTGAGAAGGAAAGTGAGAAATCATCCCCCGGGGGGATGCCCATGCCGCCATCCCTTCTCCTCCATTCTTCTCCCAGGATCTTGAGCACGCATGTACACATGCCTGGCTTGATTTTTAAGCCACTGAGTCCAAGGCTCAAACCACAGTCGAGAATGTGGGAGTTCAGTGATGTAACTGCTATGCCATTTGCTGGTCTCTTTATGACTGGCTTTAGGGAAATGAGTTCTAGGTTTCTAAGACCTGCCTTGGGGAAGAGATTCTAATTTTGTATAGCTTACCTCTGGGGGAGATGAGGGATGAGAAACGGGAACAGAAGTTCAGAGAGAAACTCTGCCTCTGGGCAGGCCATTTGTGAGGTTGACTCACATGCAGGGGTTGCTAGGTTCACATCAGGAGAGCTGCCTATGTGAGCCTGGCATGTACAAGCCCATCACTCAGAGCTGACCAAGGCTGGGGAGGATCTCGGAGTTGGGACCCTCTTGGGGGTATCTTTCTCTTCTTCTTGCTCATAAAAGAAAAAATAACTTAAGGGGTGGGGGGACCAGCAGGTGGCATGGTAGTTAAAGGGCTGGACACTCCATATGACTGACCGCAGTTAGAGTCCCAGAACTGGTGCTTGCTTTCTCACTTTCTCTCTCTCTTTCTGTGTCTCTCTTTCTGGTCAAATTAAAATGAATGAATGAATGAATAAATCATGTTTTTTAAAAAAAAAAAAGAAAAAAAAATGAGCTCTGCTTCCAAGGCTGCTTTTGAGGCCTTTCTTTGGGGGCAGTATTTTCTGAGTCCTAACAGGTCATGTAGACAAGACCGCGTGCCTGAGGGTCTCACACTGTAGAATTGGATTCCCGAGACAAGTGGGGACTGAGTTCTAGGGGATTCTCCCTGGGTCCTTTCTTTTCATTGGCTCCTGATTCATGCAAAACAGAGTGGCAGCCATCTCATTAATCATTAAGGTCCAGCTGGGGTGAGAGTTGGGGTGGAGAAAACAACAGTAATAACCCAGTCTTATGTTCTAATGTAACGACTGTAAAGACAATGCCTGGGGACTGGCAGGTGGCGTGGTAGTTAAGAGCACTGGATTCCCACAGGGCCGACTGTGGTTCGAGTGCTGGACTTGATAGCTTGCTTTCTCACTTCCCCTTTCTCTCTTTCTCTCTCTCTCTCTCTCACTCTGTCCTCTGGTCAAATTATAAATAAATAAATAAAGTTAAATAAAATAATTCTTAAAAAGAAAAAAATATAAGAAAGATGATGCCCATGGGACCAGCAGTTAGCGTAATGGCTATGTCGCTGGACTCCCATGTAGTCGACCACAGTTCGCGTCCCAGACCCGGTGGCTTAAAACTCACGCCGGGCGCATGTGTGTGCGTGCGTGCCCAAGATCCTGAGAGAACAGAGGAGAAGGGACTGCGGCGTGGCCATCCCCCCTGGGGGGTGATTTCTCACTTTCTGTCTCTTTGTCTCTCTCTGTCTGTCTGGTGAGCACACACACCCTATACCAAAAACCTCTCCCCCCAAAAAAAGAAAAAAAAAAAAGAAAGACGATGCCCGAAGAAAACCAAGTAGAACAATGGAAAATGCTATGCTGAAATATGAATGCCTAAAAGCAGGACATAAACTTGCATTTCCCTGTATTCTTGATAAAATCAAAAGGTAAATGAAAGTGCAGGATATGAAAACATTGTACTTATCACTATGTGTAATATTATGTTGTCTTTACAAGGAAGATGTATTAGAACAGTAACAGATTATTGGATGTACCATATTCATAGACACAAAGAGATGTCTTTTATAAATCATTATGACTGGAGAAGCTCTCACTAATGTGATCAAGGAAACAGGAAAATGCAAACTAGAGCATTTTCAATCAATGAATACTCAATTATCTATTATGTGCAGACATTGCTTGGAGCTGGAAATAGGGAGCTCTGTGCCAATGGGGAAGTGCCACTGCCTACCAAATAATACAAAACTCATCAGTTATTCCAGATGTACTTTAGTCCCCCCTTACTCACAGGTTTGCTTTTTGCAGTTTCAGTTACCCGAAGTCAACCATGGTTTGAAAATAGGTGAGTGCAGTTCAGTAAAATTTCAAGAGAGAGAAAGAGAGAGAGACCACATTCACATTTAAAATAAATATAGGTATTTAATTGTATCAATTTTTTTGTTTTTGAGAGGTTTTCACTATAGGGCATGTGCACTCGCCAGAAAGAGAGAGACAGAGACAGAAAGCGAGACATCACCCCCCATGGGGGATGGCCATGTCACACTCCCTTCACCTTCATTCTCCTCTCAGGATCTTGGGCACGCACACACACACGCCTGGTGTGAGTTTAAGCCACCGGGTCCAGGACTCGAACTACACTCAACTACATGGGAGTCCAGCAACATAGCCATTATGCCATCTGCTGGTCCCTGGTATTTTTTTTTAAAGGGAGTTAGCCTTGGGCTGGCCCCTTGCCTGGTGGTTAAGGGAACCAGATTCCACTTTGCTGATCTCAGTTCAAATTCTAACTCTATGCCTGGACATGGTAGCTTGAAAAATGTACCACACATAGGCATGTCCCAATCAGGCAGGATGAAGAAAAGGAGAAAAAAAGATTGCAGTACTGCCCATAAGGGGGTGCTATCTCACCTTTCTCTCGATTAATTTGGCAGAGGGCACAACAGGTGGCATAGTGATTAAGGTACTAGATTAGTGATTAAGGTACACATGACCAACTGCGGTTCAAGTCCTGGACCCAGCAGCTCAAATTCATACCGGGCACATGTATGAATGTGACAAGAACCCCAAGAAGAGAGTAGAAGAAAAAGGATAGTGGCATGGCCATCTCCCCTGGGGGGGGGGTGATTTCTCACTTTCTTTTCTTTCTTTCTATCCCTCCCTGTCTCTCCAGAAAGTACACATGCACTATAACAAAAACCTCTCACTGAAAAAGAAAAAAAAAATACCCCCTATGAGCACACACACATAAACACCCAATGTGTTTCTTAAGCCGCTGTGTCCAAGACTTGAACTGTGCACTTAGCCATGTGTGATACAGCTGCTTTAAACACCATGCCACCAGCTGGCTGGCCTACTCTCTTTCTCTTTTCTTTCTTTCTGTCTTTGGTGAGCACATGTACCTACTGGCAATTAAAAAAAAAAAAATGTTGGAACCATCAGATGATGTACACATCGCTGGACTCCCATGTGGTCAACTCCAGTTCGAGTCCCAGTCTCGGCAGCTTAAACCTCAAACTGGGACCATGTGCATGTGTGCCAAAATCTCAAGAGGAGAATGGAGGAGAAGGAATTGCAGCATGGCCATCTCCCCCAAGAGGTGATTTCTCTCTTTCTGCCTCTCTGTCTCTCCGGCAAGCGCACATGCCCTATAGCAAAAATCTCTAAAAAAAAAAAAAAAGTTAAAAAAAGTTTAGCCTTTCAAGATCAGCAGTTGGCGTAATGGCTATGTTGTTGGACTCCCATGTAGTTGACCATGGTTCAAGTCCCTGACCCGGTGACTTGAACTCATGCCGGGGGCATGTGCGTGACCAAGATCCCAAGAGGAGAATGGAGAAGAAGGGATTGCGGTTGCATGCGTGCCCAAGATCCCAAGAGGAGAATGGAGAAGGGATTGGGGTGTGGCCATCCTCCCTGGGGGGTAACTTCTTTCTGTTTCTCTGTCTCTCTCTGTGTTTCTGGCGAGCGCACGTGCCTTATAGCGAAAACCTCTCAAAAAATAAAAAATAAATAAAAATAAATAAATATACATTAGCTAAATTAGCCTTTGGGAACGGCAGATGTTGTAATGGTTACATCATTGGACTCCCACGTAGTCGACCACGGTTCCAGTCCCGAACCCCACAGCTTGAAACTCAACTGGGCACGTGTGTGTGTGCGCGCGCGTGTGTGTGCACGTGCCCGAGACCCCACAGCTTGAAACTCAACTGGGCACGTGTGTGTGTGCGCGCGCGCGTGTGTGTGCACGTGCCCGAGACACTGACTGAGGTGAGAATGGAGGAGAGGGGATTGTGGTGCCCCATTTCCTCCCAGGGTGGTGATTTCTCACTTCCTATCTCTGTCTCTCCAGCCAGCACATGCACCCTATAGTAACAATCTCAAAAAAAAAAAAAACAAAACAAACTTAGCCTTTATCTATCAGAATGCCCCAGTCACCTTGTGTAGTAAGGTAGCCAGTGAGGCAAGGCTGTTAATGAATGTGCCTTTTGAAAGACCTTACCTAGCCGAGGAGAGAACATTAAGCCCTGGAAATAATCTGGCCGAATAGCCAGTCATATGTCACGTTTACAGCGAACCCGGCCAGTGTGGAAAGAAGATATGTGCAAAGAGACAGGGTTATAAGTGAGTTATTTTTAGGTCCTACCTAGTAATGGGCAGAATCTCTCTCCAGGCAGCGTTCACAGGTTCCAAACCAAAGCTTTTAACTTGGCAGTGCCGTTTGAGCAAACAAACTCAGCCAGTTGAACACAATGATTAACAGGAAACTGCTGGGGAACTGACACAGTTACCAGCCCTTGGCCGGGGAAGACGCTGGGGTTGAAATCTTTGTACGATGACTTGCAGAATGATTCTCTCTCCTCTGAGTGGTCTTGCTGTGAGGACAGGTGGACCCACGGGGATCAGACCTCTCCTGAGACATTCTCTTTTTATGTAATAACAGGTTACAGGTTAGTGGAAGACCGGGCGAAGAAAATACAGAGAGAAGGACCTCAGAAATGTGTCAAAGGAAAGTGAAAATGCAACCTAGCCGTACATGAAGGGGAAAGGAAGGAAAAGAAAAAAGACACAGAACCGTTAACTGGAAGGACACGGGACAAGCGATCCAGACCACATCCATCAGGAGGATGATCTGGGGCCCTGGAGAAAAAGTAAGTTAAATAAATTTGACGCGCTGTTCGCTGTTCAGCTCTCCAGAGACGTTTTGCTCATTTCCTGGTTTTGAATGATGGGCTCTTGGAAGCATTGTCTTTTTAGCGTGTCTCTTCTCGCCGCCCTGATCTTTGTGTTTGTTTACAATAACGAGTTGTGGGAGAATAAACGTTTTCTGAAGGCAGCTCTCGCCAATGCTTCAGTCCTAGCCGAAGCCTGCCGTCAGATTTTGAATGGGAAGGTTTTTTACATGACGGAAAATGCACTGAAAACGACCCTGCGTAGATCTACCTGTTACGAGTACATGGTTCAAAGTCATTACATAACAGAAACGCTCTCGGACGAAGAGGCCAGGTTCCCTTTGGCTTACACGATGGCCATCCACAAAGACTTTGGCACTTTTGAGAGACTCTTCAGGGCGATTTACATGCCCCAGAATGTCTACTGTGTGCACGTGGATAAGAAGGCCACAAATGCATTTAAAGATGCAGTGGAACAGTTACTGAGCTGCTTCCCAAATGCATTTCTGGCTTCCAAGATGCTGCCTGTGGTCTATGGTGGCATCTCCAGGCTCCAGGCGGACCTGAACTGTATGGAAGATCTGGTGGCCTCCCAGGTCCCCTGGAAGTACCTCCTCAACACCTGTGGGCAAGACTTCCCCCTGAAAACCAACAAGGAGATAGTCCAGTATCTGAAAGGCTTTAAAGGGAAAAACATCACCCCAGGGGTGCTGCCCCCAGCCCATGTGATGGGGCGGACTAAATTTGTGCACCGGGAACTCTTAGACAGCAAGAATCCATATGTGCTAAAAACAGCACAAAGTAAAACGTCTCCTCCTCACAATATGACCATTTACTTCGGCACTGCCTACGTGGCTCTCACAAGGGAATTTGCTAATTTTGTCCTTCAAGACCGGCACGTGTTTGACTTTCTCTCCTGGTCCAGGGACACCTACAGCCCCGACGAGCACTTCTGGGTGACGCTCAATCGGATCCCTGGTATGTAAACCTCTTTCTTTGTGTGGATACATGGTGCATGGTCGATACTGGCTAGACTGCTTAGAAAATGGTCCAGGTTTTTGAAAACATGAATTGAAACTTTTTCATGGTAATGAACATCTTCATGGCGGTTCTGTTCCCAGGTTGAGTGTTCCCACTGTCTCCATTTTACAGCTGAGAAAACTGAGATGTAGCGATGAGCAGAGCGGAGGTGGAGACGCAACTGTCTGGCTTGAGATTGCTCATACCCCAAGCTGCTTTTCTGGGCCCCAGAGACGCACCCCAAATGTGCGCTGTGGCCTTGACACCAAGCAAAAGACTGAGAGAGCACTTGGCTATATACATGACAAATTAAACCTACTCTTCCTTTAAGTGCAATGGCATTTAAAGTCGGGAGTAGAGGCCAGACAATGGTGCGGCAGTGAAATAAGACGCTTTGAATGCCATCCCACTGGCGAGTTCGAGTCTGGAGGCCTCCGTGAGTGTTCCAGGCACGTGAGTGCCCATCTTCCAGGCCTGGCTGAGGCTGGGGGGGTAGGTCAGAGTCAGAACCCATTTGGAGGGGCTGTCTCTCTGACTCATGGAGAAAATAAGTGGATAAACTTTTTTAAAAAAAGGAATAAATATAATAAATAAAATTGGAATGCCAATTTGAATCTTTTAGTAATAGTTTTGCTCCTCTGGAAGCCCCCATTGATGGCTGAGTCCCCATCCTTTCACGATGGGAGCAGAACACGACCTTTACATTTTTCATTTGCAAGTTTTTTTCTTGGAGTTAAAAATCAGTAGAGCAGGGCCAGCAGGTGATGTGGTGGTTAAGGGCATTAGACTCCCACATGGCTGACAGCAGTTCAAGTCCTGGACCTGGTGGCTTGCTTTCCCACTTTTCCTCTCTCTCTCTCTCTCTCTCTCTCTCTCTCTCTCACTCTGTCCCTCTGTGGTCAAATTAAAATAAATACATAAATAAATAAAGTTAAATAAAATAATTCTTAAAAAAATCAGTAGAGTACCTTAAAGATTTCTAGACCAGTATCATCATTTTAGAGTTGTTAGATTCCTTTATTTTATTTAAGTAATTTTTTTTTTTTTTTGGAGAAGTTTTTGCTATAGGGCGCATATACTCACCAGAAAGACAGAGAGAGAGAGACAGAAAGCGAGAAATCACCCCCAGCGGGGATGGCCACGCTGCAATCCCTTCTCCTCCATTCTCCTCTTGAGATCCTGGGCATGCACGCACATGCACCTGACGTGAGTTTAAGCCACCGGGTCTGGGAATCGAACTGCAATCGACTACATGGGAGTCCAGCGACATAGCCTTTACGCCAACTGCTGGTCCCAAGAAAATTATAGATTTAAAGCCTGCTGCCAGCCCCGAGGCTCAGCAGTTAAGGGAGCTGGATCCAATCTCAGCCCTAGTAGCTTAAAAACCACACTGGCCTGTGTGCATATATGCCCTCAATCCTGACAGGATGCAGAATGTAGTAGGAGGATTAGGGGCATGACCAAACCCCATCAGGACGTGCTTCTTCCCTCTCCTTCTTCTCCTTTCTGGCCAGCATATATGCCCTGGGCAAGAAAGAAAAAGGAAAAAAGAAAAAGAGAAAAAGGAAAAGAAAGGACAGCATTCTGAGTCTAAGAAGCGCTTATAGCAGCGTCTAAAACAAGCAGTCACCCCTGGCCATCCCTGCTAAACCATAATTACTTGGAGGGTATACAAACACCCAGGAAAAGGGACCCTATAGCAAAAATCTCCTTCAAAGCAAACAAAAAAATCTATGATTTTCTCAAAGCTGAAGTCGTCATGTAATGATAAGGGCCGAAGAAAGTCCAGTGAGGGAGGAGTGACCACAGGGCAGTGTAGGTAGCATTGTGTCCAACGTCAGGGAGCTGAAAGCCCGATTCTGTCTACAGTGTGACTTAGAGTATGAGTGGTTTTATTTATATGGATTACTATATCCTATTAACATTTACTATTGCTATGGTTATATGTATAAATATGATTGGCATTCGTAATATTTTATTTCTATCCAGTGGGTTTTGGGCTTGCTTAGAGGATGATGAGGAGTGTTTGGGTCTAAGTAGGTTCTCAAGCCAGCAGCCAAGATTCAAAAGCTGAACCCACCTCGATTTTTCTTTCTTTCTTTCTTTCTTTTTTTTTTTTTTAACAAAAGACCAAGACAAAAAAGGAAATTCAATCTGAAAAACACTTGAAGAGGGCTCACTGTTTCCACATAATTAAAATATTTGCTCGTGAAAGAGAAACTGGAGCAGCTCTGTAATTTTGGAAGACAAGTTGAGGGCCGGTGTGGGAGATGAGAGAAGGAGGTGGGAACAGGATGGGCAGCTTCTGGGGACCGGCAGGTGGCGTGGTGGTTAAGGGCGCTGGACTCCCACATGGTCAACCGCAGTTCAGGTCCCAGACCTGGTGGCTTACTTTCTCACTTTCTCTCTCTCTCTCTCCTTATTCTGTCCCTCTCTGGCCAACCTTAAATAAATCAATACATGGATAAATAAAGTTAAATAAAATAATAAGAAGAAAGAAAGGGGAGCTTCATCTGAAGTGAGCAAAGCCCCGGGGAAGCAGAGGCCTTGGAGATGCTGCAGAGGAAACATGAGTGCTGGGCAGGATGGTCTCTGAGTCTCCCAGGCGAGAGTACATGATTCCCTGCATGTTGAACAGAGACCTCGGGGGAGCACCATACTTCTCACTGTGGTTCAGCCTGTTAGCATTGGGTGTCTATACCCCCCAGTAGCGGATAACCGGGTGTCCATACCCCTCAGTAGAAGGTAACCAGGTGTCCGTACCCCTCAATAGTGGGTAACCGGTGTCCATACCCCTCAGTAGAAGGTAACCCTGTGTCTGTACCCCTCAGTAGAAGGTAACCGGGTGTCCGTACCCCTCAGTAGAAGGTAACCGGGTGTCCGTACCCCTCAGTAGAAGGTAACCGGGTGTCTGTACCCCTCAGTAGAAGGTAACTGGGTGTCCGTACCCCTCAGTAGAAGGTAACTGGGTGTCTGTACCCCTCAGTAGAAGGTAACCCTGTGTCCGTACCCCTCAGTAGAAGGTAACTGGGTGTCCGTACCCCTCAGTAGAAGGTAACTGGGTGTCCGTACCCCTCAGTAGAAGGTAACTGGGTGTCCGTACCCCTCAGTAGAAGGTAACTGGGTGTCTGTACCCCTCAGTAGAAGGTAACTGGGTATCTGTACCCCTCAGTAGAAGGTAACCCTGTGTCCATACCCCTCAGTAGAAGGTAACTGGGTGTCTGTACCCCTCAGTAGAGGGTAACTGGTATCTGTACCCCTCAGTAGAAGATAACCAGGTGTCCGTACCCCTCAGTAGAAGGTAACCGGGTGCTCGACTCCCACATGGCTGACCATGGTTCAAGTCCCGGATCTGGTGACTTGTTTTCTCACTTTCTCTCCTCTCTCTCTCTCTCTCTCTGTCTCTGCCTCTCTCTAGTGAGTGCATGTACCCTATGGAAAGAATAATAATAATAATAAGTAAATTTATAAAAAGAAAGCAGTAGTCTGTAACTAGCTAAAAGCCTCTCACCCTGCCAGCTTCTGTCACTTTTCTCAATGTTTATTTTATTGGGTCGTCGGGAAAGTCATGATGCATTTTGTATGCAAAACCTAGAAAAATATGTCATGACTTTTCCAATGACCCAATAATTGAAAATAATAATTGTAGGGACCAGCAGTTAGCATAATGGCTATGTTGCTGGACTCCCACGTAGTCGACTGCGGTTCGAGACCCGGACCCACTGGCTTAAACTCACGCTGGGCGCGTGTGCGTGCGTGCACAAGATCCCAAGAGGAGAACGGAGGAGAAGGGATTGCGGCGTGGCCATCCCCCCTGGGGGGTGATTTCTCGCTTTCTTTCTCTCTGTCTCTGTCTGTCTGGCGAGTGCACGTGCCCTATAGCAAAAACGTCTCCAAAAAAAAAAGAAAATAACAATTGTATATGTTTACAGGGTACACGTGATGTTTCAATACATGTATACATGGTAGAACAATCAAATGAGCTATTCATTACCGCAAATGTATTATTTCTTTTTAGTGAGAACTTCTAACATCTTCTTTTAGCTATTTTGAAATATACAGAACATTATTTTCTTTAATTCTTTAATTAATTAATTAATTTTAATTTGACCCGAGAGGGACAGAGCGAGAGAGAGAGAGAGGGAGAGGGAAAGTGAGAAAGCAAGTCAGCAGGTCCGGGACTCAAACCGCTGTCGGCCACCTGGGAGTCCAGCACCCTTAACCACCATACCACCTGTTGGCCCCCAGAACACTATTATTAACTGTAATCAACTTAATGTGCAACAGAACACCAGAAAGTTCCCATGTCACTATAACTTTGTATCTCTTGACCCCTTGTTCTATAATGCTCTGTATGTCTGCTACTCATTCTTTTATTTATTTATTTTTTAAGGAATTATTTATTTATTTGTTATTATTATTTATTTTTTAATGTGACCAAAGGAAGACAGTGAAAGGGAAGGTGAGAAAGCCAGCCTCCAGGTCTGGGACTCAAACCGTGGTTGGTCATGTGGGAGTCCAATACCTTAACCACTATGCTACCTGCCAGCCGCACCTTTGCTGCTCATTCTAATCAGTTCTCCTTAAGATCCAGTTGCAGTGGCATGTTCTCAGCACCTTTATTTCCCCATAGAACCATCACCCCTTATGTTTTTATTTTATTTTATTTTGCTAGAGGGCACTTACACTAGTCAGAGAGAGACAGAGATAGAGAGAGAAGGAGAGGAGAAAACGTTTCACCCTACTCCCCCATGCTCCATGGGGCACAATCATCCTGCAATCCCTCCCTTCCATCTCTCCCTCCTTCAGGGATTTTGGGCATGCACACACATGTGCCCAGAGTGTTTCTCAAGTTGCTGGGTCCAGATCTTGAACTGCAAAGTCTGCCATGTGGGATCCGACTGGCTTAGCCACCAGGCCACAGAACCTCCCTACGTCCCCCGACTTCATTCATGCTT